AAAAAATAACGAAATAAGATATCAATATTTCATTCTCCTAAATGACAGTAAAAATAAATAATTAATAAAAAAACTTTCAACGAAACAATAAATAAATTATTCCTTCTTAGGTACCACTTCAAAAATTTWTTTTTATTTTTTTTTTAATCACTTTGGTCTTCGGTTACCCAGAAATGATTTAGATAACAATCAAATGTATGCTATTAAAATAACAACTGCTTCTTGCTATGCTCTAATGACTATCACGGCAGTAAAAATTATTAAAATAATTATAATATTAGTAATAACAAAAAATAAATAATAATAAATGTTGCAACTTTAAAAGCTTTATTATTAAATAATATATTGCTTTTACCACCAAACCAAAATAAAGATAATAATTAATAGCTACTGCAGAAAAGATACATATTTATATAGTTAAATGGCATATCATTCTCTGCATTTTCTCTCTCTTCTCAGCTTACCAGTACATTAAGGATCATTGCTGCTTTCAACAGGTCTCTCCATCTCTCTCTATTGTAAGTCAACTCATATGTCACATTCTGGTCTATGACTTTCAAATTCTTGGATACTACATCGATCCACCGGGTCCTTGGTCTTCCTAGGGGTCTTCCTAGGGGTCTTCCTTGGGGTCTTTTTTTTGTTCATTTTTTCCACGAGTACATTTTTATTAGTTGACCAACCACCCTCTCCAAGTGTGTCCAAACCACTCTAATCTTTTATTCCTGATAAAGGCTAGAATGTTTAATCTTTTGTATAATTTATGTAGATCTTCATATTTTTTTCTTCTGTCAAACGTATTTGTTTCTCAGTTAAAGCTTGGTCCAAATATATTCCTAAGTATTTAAATATATATAGTCAGTGGTTTCCTTGCTCTTTAGAAACACACATTGATAACTACGATAATATTATTGGCATATGTATTTATTCTTTTTAATATTATTGTTGTTAGGATTTTATATTCAACGTCCAGCAGGGAAATACCTCTATAGTTTCTGTTTTGCTGGGTTTACTTTTTTAAATATAGGACAAATAATAGCAGAGTTCCATTCCTCTGGTATCGTTTCTGTTCTCCATATTTCTCTAATAAATTCTGTTAKTTTTCTCCTTAACACTGTTCCTCCTTTATTTAACAGTTCTGCTACTACACCATATTTGCCTGGTGCTTTATTATTTTTAAGGCTGTCCACTGACCAATAAATTTCCTCATGAGAGGGTTCCTCAATTTCCGGTTCTACAGTGTGGAATTCTACTTCTTCATTTTCCGTGTTGTCAAGCGGTCTGTTTAGTAGCTTTTCGAAAAAATTCTTAAATTCATTAACGATTT